TCAGTAAAAGGGGTATAGATATGGCAATATTAATTGATAGCACATTATTGTACACTATTTTGTGAGTTATTATCACTCATTAAAATCGGCGAATGGCCGGACACTTCTTCGGGAGACCATAAGTTTGTCCGCATATTCTACATGTTATTCCCTATTGAATGACTTGTAAATGAATAGGGAATAACATGTAGAATATGCGGACAAACTTATGGTCTCCCGAAGAAGTGTCCGGCCATTCGCCGATTTTAATGAGTGATAATAACTCACAAAATAGTGTACAATAATGTGCTATCAATTAATATTGCCATATCTATACCCCTTTTACTGACATCCAGAGTCAGCCATTGATTGCCAACANCAAACTTATGGTCTCCCGAAGAAGTGTCCGGCCATTCGCCGATTTTAATGAGTGATAATAACTCACAAAATAGTGTACAATAATGTGCTATCAATTAATATTGCCATATCTATACCCCTTTTACTGATATCCAGAGTGGACTCGTGTTTTGGTGATAACTTACATACTATTAAACATCGACAGCAACGCCGTGAAGGCGAAGCCGATGGCGAACATAGACTTCATCTTCACTAAAGACAGATCTCTGTTGTGATTCTTGAGCTTCTCTTCTTCGCGCTCCAACTTCTTCTTCATTTGCTTATCATTGGTCTCACCGATGGTCTCCTTCTTCTTCTCTACTGTTTACCATAAAAAACAATCATAAAACCGGTGATCATCTGATCGGTGGTCAAGAGGTCTTACATCGTTTGCACTGTCGCTCCACTTCGGCCTTCAATCGCTTGTATTTGTCAGTCCTGTAGACCATAAGCCATGTGAGCCCTAACACCACAACACACTCACCATGAGATCAGTTGTCATAATGACCACAAATGGACAATACCTTCGCCGAGAAGTGCCGTAAATATGGATATGAATACAATTAACACGCCGTCGGTCCACATGTCTCACCACAAGTCATGAAATACTAGTCAATACAAGTCAATACAACTCACGGCAAATAGATTTCATGATTTTTATCACTGCTTTCACTCAATTACGTCCATTTGTATTACACTTTTAAATTCAATTTTATTAAATATTTTCTCAATAAAACAAATATTTTTAATATTAATAATTATTAAATGAATCATTAAATCAACACAATTATAATCATGTGATTAATTGAATATTAATAGACATTAAGTTGACTACAATGTTGAGTGTATTGATGATAGCGTTATGTCTGAACACATGTTTACTGTTTTTGGTATTTTCAGTGAATAATAAACACAAAAATGTAAATAATTTGGTGTTTTGTGTATTGACTTGAAGTGCAATACAATTGTGTTTTAGTTATTATTTTTAGTTTGCAATCAATTGATTGCTTCGCAAACCATTTAATCGTGTTTTTGATTCATTAGTTTCATGGACTCAACCATTAACTCAATGTTATGTTCACATAAATAGAGTTTATTTTCACTTCATATTCACATAAGTATTGAAAACCATTTGTATGCAAAACACTGTCACCAAAAATAATGGCAATAATTATACTGACATTTAAATGCAATTAAATGACATTTTGTTACTTATATTGATTTGGTTTCAGAGTTTATACGTTGAGTATTATATAAGTATTTGTGACAAGTATTGAATGAAATCTCGAAAAGTTTTTAATTGCAACTGAATGTAAGGAAAGGTATTACAAAACCGACACAAACTCTGGTCTCAGATAACAGACAACGAGATGAGCGACAACTCGGATGACGCCCGCAAAGAGCCGGCTCTGGGATCGGCCGCCGATCGCAAGTCGTGGATCCGATTCGAGGACAGACCCGATGGTGATGTCGGCGCCGTCGACGAGTTTAAGGTGGAGATGCCGTCCCCGGAGT